AGCAATATGTATGTTCTGCTGAAAGCCCTCCTGTTACTATTCAGTTGTGTCAATCCCATCTCTTCTTTGTCTCACCTGTGAGAGTGCCCATGCTACCTGTCATAAGTGTGACAGATCTGAGAGCGTGCTAAACACTTTGCAAAAGCAGGTCATAAAGTTGCAGGCCCAGATGGAGGGGGAAAAAAAAGCAGTTATTAAGAAGTATTTTCTTTCACTTCAATATTATCTGTGCCAGGACTTGCAAGTGATATTTTTGTACTTTACAAACATGTGTCAGCATAGCTATATGTGTCCTAAAAGTGATGGTGAATGATCTTCATCAGAAGAGCTGCTCCAGTGGGAGCTCACATGATGGATGTAGGCATGGTGTCAGGATGAGCTCATGTTACTTTAAGCAGATATGCTAAGATAGACTACCAGCAGAAGATTGACTATGAACAAAGGAGACTATTGCCAGTGTAGTAAACTGGGATAATTATTGTGGAGAAGCTTTCTTAGTGCAGTTCTAATCAGGAAAAGATTAGAATAAATATTGAAGACAGATAACCAGTCTTAAACTACTGGATTTGAAAATTTCCTACTTCCCTGTGATCTCCTAGCAGCAAGTTCTTCTAGCTGAACGCTCTAGGAACAGGGATTTGATACATTTTCCTGAAAGCAGGGCAGGAATCTGGTAAAGTGATTTTCAAAGAATTCAGCCTTGAAAAACAAAGGTCTGTTGTTGTGGTGTGTTGCAATGTCCTGTTTTAAACTTCCGAGTCCCTTCCCAGGTGTGCCTATGCCTCTCTCCCTGCCCCCTCGCCCCCTTGCTGAGTGTGCCCTGTCAATCAGGCTAACATACCAGCAAGGCGTCGTGTGATTCGTCGATTTCAAAGGATGCTTCTCAGGCCTGGGGGTCATTGGCCTGTCTAAGTGTCATCCTCCCTTGAGACCCTGCCCCCTTCACCTGGTTGGTAACTCACCTGTCCCCTCCCCTTCCCCTGTCCCCGAGCTTATAAAGTTAATGAGACCATGCGGCCGGCATTCTGTTAGCAGCAGTGGCCCAGTGCAGACCTCTGTACCAATGGAATAAACATCTGGCAACCTTCTAGCAGAATCCGCTCCCTTTATCTCCACTATCGCCAGAAGCTCTCTCCGCTCCCTTTATCTCCACTATCGCCAGAAGCTCTCTCTCCTGAGGAGCTGCGAGTCTGTTTTCGGGCTGCGAAGTCACTTCGCCCACCCAGGGACGCCAATATATTGGAATATGTATCCCAATATAACCAGTTAGATGGTGCCTAGGCCAGTTCTGACCTTCGCTGCTGGGCCGAAGGCAGCACTGTGGTGTTTTACCCCAGAGATACCTTGGCTGGCGGCAGAGTGCAGCGGGGCACAAGACAGGACTCCGTTCTCCTCAGGAGAGAGAGCTTCTGGCGATAGTGGAGATAAAGGGAGCGAAAAAATGAGAGGAATTTTATCTTGAATGGAATGCAAGATATGAATTTCTGGTTTCAGATTATTCCAGCTTGCATTTAGCAGATGACAACGCTTAAATCCCAAGACTCTGTCTTTTCTTATTTCACACAGTCTTAATGTCTTGAGGCTACGTTATTGCTTCTCATTGCTGGTAGAAATACATGAAGTAATACTTTCTGCCAATGTTGCAGTTCTGAATTTTGGTCACTAAGCTTAATACACTGTAACAAAACATGCCAATTAGTTCTTTTCACAAGGTCTGCACAGATGTTTACCACAACCAGTGTGAAGAAGGAAAGCGCACAGTCAGTCATGTTTGGACCTTTATCATTGTCCCCAGCTGTCACCCACGCCCATAGGGCACTGTACTCCCCCAGGTACCAAGCATGGCTTCCTTTCTCTGCTGTTCTTATTATCACTTATGGCTGAAAGAGAATATTTGAGTTTAGACCAAGTTTTCGTCCCACTGGGCTGGACCCAACTGATGGTCCATAGAAATGTGATCATAGATGTTTTCTATTTCACTTAATGAACTGCATTACAAAAAGTTCAAGTTTGAATTGCATCAAAAGTTGTCTTAGGCAAATGTACACTTGAGGGAACAAAGATGACTTGAAAAGTGATGTGTTAATGCCCTGTCCCAGCAAGTGTGTACTCTGAACCCCCTTCTGAAGTACTGCTATTTCCTGGCTGCTTCACATGACCGTACTCAGTTAATCCTTTTGTAGCAGTGTTCTTGAGTCTATCTAATTGAAGAGGCATCTAGTTCTATTATTGCTGTTACCATGAAATGAAAGGGATTACATTGTTTGATGACTATTGTGAGAAAGGAGTAGAATAGAGAAACAGTTTGAGTTCTTTGTGTATAGCTAGATTATTTCCTTCCCTTTTCCCCTTCCTTCCTTCTTTCAAAATGATGACCATTTTGACTAATATTGATGATGCCCCCTGGATATCACATATCACTTCTGGAAGTGCATACAGTGACTGGAAGTAGTAGTTTGTAAACCATTCTCTGCTATTTTTTTGACCATCAAATCTATGGACCACCAGTGAAGCCATGCTGCTTCAACGGATTCTCTGTGAGGTGGTTGTGAAGTTCTGCTGGATGGGACATGGCAAGACAGCAGCCTGACATGGAAGATCCCTCTCTGTCTCCTCTCCTCCCCTTCCCTTGCCAGGATGTATGTTAGAGGGTCTTTGATAGAGGGAGGTGGACTGAACCTAACTGTCCTGCATAACACCTGCAGAAAAGTGCAGAGCAGTGAATAACATGGCTTTTCCCTGTAAACTGCTGCTGCTGCCTGTAGCCTGTGTAATTAGAAATAAACAATTGTGTGTGTCTTTCTCATCATCTATGGGAGACTGTTCATGTGCATTAGTGAACAGGAATTGAATGACAGCTGAGGTGTTCCCCCTATCAAATCACTCATGAAAGCCCCTGAGAATCTCAGTGGTGCATCTGTGTTTCCCCTTAAAAACTGTGCCCCAGACAAGCTAACCTGCTTCAAAAAGAGCTACTTCAGCACCTACTTTGCCAGTGAGCTCTCTTTCAGCTCTGTAATATTCTTTTTTCATTTATGTGAGTTCCTCTCATCAGAAATGAAGGCTATTAGAAAGGTATCACTGGTAGATCATCTCTTTTCCAGAGATAAAATGCTTCTTATCAGTAGGGGAATATATGTTACTGTTATCTGAAACAAGAGTCTGCTGTCTGGTTCCTTTGATTCAGAGGATCTTCTGTTGTCCTGGTACATTCAAAGGGGCAGGTTCAGTCTGTAAGGAATTGGTTTATTATGGTGCAAAAGTAGCTGAATCAGGGTGCCTTTGAAAAAGATAAGTGCTGCAAACGACTCAGGACAAGAATGGGGGAAGAGCTCTAGGTCTGTGCTGGAGTAGTTGGCACCCTGGACAAGACCAGTCTGCAGAGAAAGTGGCGTGCAAAAATCATCACCCAGCACCCTGTGTTACAGCAGCCTGGCTGATGTTACAGCCAGCTCAGGGCAGGCTTTTTCACCCTAGAGATGGCTAGTGATAATTTTGCCCAAATTGTTTTGATTTCCCTTCGTGTTCAGTATATGAAGGTGCTTATAATACTGGCAAATCCCACTCTAAAGGGTAAGTGATACAATACATTAAACACAAATCTGTGCTATAACTTGGCCTTAAATGTAGGTTTAAAGGTAGACAGTCTGATTAAAACCAAAAGGTCATTATTTTACATTGTAGAATTTTATTTGTAGCTGTAAATCATAACACAATTTGTGGAAGGAAAAAAGTTATTAAACTGGCAGTATTTATTCCAATAAGGTGAGTAAAATGCAGCACGTAGTTCTGAGTTATGATCGTCGGGGAAAGGAGCCAAATCACTCTGCTAAAAATTAGTTTGCCAATAATTTTACAGAACGATGACAGCGTAGCTTCAAAAACAAATCCTTTATAGGGAAATAGGATGGCTGCATGACAGAATCTCTAAGCTATGAATTCTCCACAGCTCATGGACCAGGAACTGCTTTAACAATTAGTCTCCAGGGATATTTTTTCCCAGAAGTTAGACAATGGCTGCTGTCTGTAACTGAAAGGTCATTCAGTATCACAAACTGGACATAAGAACTGAAGAATTCTGTATTTTAAGTCAGAAAGATTCCTGCAAACTTCTTGACTTGATCTGTTTAGTAGGCTTAACTATTCACTGCTGTTGTCTGTGAACCTGAGGTGGGAGTGATGACCACAAAAGGATATTGCAAAAGGATATTTACATTAGTAAATAAGCTCTGTGGTATTTTTACATGCCGGAAGGCACACATGCCACATTTGTAACACATGTTAGAGAAGAGCTTGAAAGAGGCTTGTGAACTCTGCCTGAGTTAAAATTTGACCAATAAGGCTAATGACTGAAAAGTAACCTGGCAGATTTTGCCACAGTGCTGCAACATCTGCCTTGTTTAAGTCTATGTTTCTGTGACTGCTGAATTCACACAAAAGCTCCCTGTTTTGTATGCTAGTCATTTCAAAATAATACAGAAAAGGAGTGTTTTATGTTCCTTCTTATTTAGAAGAGGGCTTGTGTTAGAGACCTGCCTTGGTGCAGCACCTTCTGGCTGTGTTTTATTACCAGCTTGCTGAGCAGAGCATCTCAGGGACTCACTGCAGCAGACTGTAAGTAACAAGAGCAAAACAGCAATACCCACTAAACCTTCAGTCTTGGTTACTCGTTTAATAAAGTGTTGTGCGCTCTAAAGCGTGCTAAAAAGTTCTCAAGATTTCCAGACATTTTCAGCAGTGCACAATTTTTGGAGTTAATCATCTTTTCCAGCCATTTTAGAAGCTTTGCCAAGCTGCTGAGTCTGGCTGGCACAGGTCACTGGCTGCCTGAGGATGAAGCTGCCTGAGGTGATCACAGGCAGGCACAGTTCTGCTCTCTGACAGTGAGGGAGTTAGCAATAAGATGAGCTGGTGCTGCTTGTGTCTAAGAGTAAGTGTGCAGATGTCTGAGGAAGGTGTTTGCATCTCATGTAAACATTGTTCTTATATTTTTGTTGTAGAAGATGATGTGTCAAATGTACAAATAATGTGTGCCTGGTGCCAGAAAGTTGGAATCAAGCGCTATTCCCTGAGTATGGGAAGTGAAGTGAAATGCTTCTGCAGCGAGAAGTGCTTTGCAGCTTGCCGAAGAGCATATTTCAAGAGAAACAAGGTAAGAGAAATAAGGAAAGATGTGACCTACATAGACATGGCTTTAATCAGGCCCAGCCTGAGTCTCATTTAGCATCTAATAGAAACTCTTTTCTTTTGTTTTCTCTGTTTCACCTAGTCCCACCACTTTCCATCTGTATTGTCTGTTGGACTGTCAACCCTTTACTAACCTTCTTTCTTTCAGTTTCTCTCAGCTTGATACTTGGGTTTTGTGAGGGTCAGGAAATTTAAATACTAATAAGCATTAACATAAGACTCTGAACTTGGCCTTAGAGTCTCAGGATACTTCCTACATATACACACTAAGAGTAAGTATCAGAGAAATAGAATAGAGAAAGGCTGTGTATGACAGTGCCACCAAGTCCCATGGCATTGGGATCATGGCCAGTTAGTAAATGTTTTTAGGGCCTAAGTCTCAGTCCCATCACAATACTGCACATCTTTTCACTGCTGCTAGTGAGCTGTAGTTTCATTGTTTAAAAGTATATCATTTTTAATAACTTATCATTGCTAAAAAATTCAGACACTATTCAATTTTTGGGTTGGGGTAAGCAATGTTGGAACATCTAGAGTAATGTGAACACCCCTCCTACTCAATTTAAATTTAACTCCATCTAAAATTAGAAGCAATGGTAATATTGAATGTCTACAAAAATTGCTGTAATCACTGAAGCACAGTGCCTGAAAATGCCCTTTAGGTTACTTCAGCAGCTGTTTTTCTGCAGCAGAATTTATGTCATTTAAACATGTAACATGTCATTTAAAGAAAAATAGAAAAGGAACCCCTCAAATTTTTAGTTGTTAAAAAACTAACTGTGTCCTTTTGGTGCTGAATAGTGTGAGCCTCTGGGTAACTTTATTGTCTTAGAAATGTTTATCAGTCAGAAAACTCTTTATATTTTGGCTTCCTAAATGATGCCATTTACCCTCATCCTTCAGGACATTCCAAGCCTGTCAAGTTCAAATTGACTTCAGGTCTCTAAATCTCGTCTTTTACATCTGTCATGATAACCAATAAGTACATATGGTTTCTAGACTTAAGATGCAATGTTATAGCAAATTAACCTCCTTTATAAATTTGGGTCACATCATCCTGCCAAAAAAAAAAAAGCCTGAAGAATTAGGTTGCATAAATCAGTAGAGTGGAATTTTAGTGGCAGTCTTGAATAATCAAGCTCATAGTGTCTACTGGAGCAGACAGGCAACTAAAAGTCACATGAGTATTCTGTGAACAGTCTTGTTTACATTCTTTTTATCTAGAAGTGTGGAGGAGGGAAATATGTGCTCCTTAGATGCTCCTCATTTGAAAATAAATCCGCAGGGATGTATGTGCATGTGCACATGTGCACCTCTATCACATGCTGTTCTGTGTGCCTTACAGTGTGCAGGGCACAGTCCAGACACTCTGGGCTGACAGGATGCAGATCTCTGTCAGCTGATGCTCCTGTGACTTCCAGTCACAAATTTTCATGGATAAGATCCTTCCTAGTAATGGAGGCATTGTCAGTGATCCTGGTTAAGTGATCCTGTGTGACCAGAACTGATGAGTACCAGATAATTTGGGAAACCTTGGAGAGGCAGATGAAAGGACTTGGTGTATTCTTTCTCACCTACAGCTTAGATCCTGAAATAAGAGATTTAGATCTCCACTAAATGAAAATAAATGTGTGTTAACATAATGCATAGGGTACTTCAACCTTCTAGTAACCCATTAGTAGTAGAATTCAGTAATAGTTTATGACCATGAATTCAGTCAGTGAGGCAGTATATGAAAAAGTTCCCTTTTACCTGACTTACTATTTATTACCCTGGTGCTTTACTGGAGGCCTCCTTGTTCTTGTATTATGAGAGAGGATGAATTAGAGCTTCACATTCTCCTTGGTTCCCTTTCCTCCACCTCTGTTAACTTCTGGCAGATGCCAAATATTTCCATTGAGAAAGCTCTCTATATTCATTATTTTGTATGTGTGTATAGACAGACAGACAGAAACACATATACAAATATATACAAATAAATACATATACACATATATGTATATAAGCACAATAGGTGTTCCTAATATTTTCATATACCAGCATATCCCAGTGAAATGTCCTATTATTCACTAAAAAGGTTTCAAACTAACAAAATGCCATGTAGGAGGACTTGGCAAAACATGGTGAGAAAACATTATCATGTTGATTGGCTCTGCTTCAAAGCTAAGCCAGTGAGTTAAATTCTCTTTTTCTTTGGACCTGTGAAACCTGGAATTTCACAGGATTTGATGAGCAGAGGAAATCTGTAGCTGTCCCTTGCATGTATTTATGGCATTAGATAATCTGGGGACAGAATATTTAGGAAGTGCGCTTCTTAAATGAAGACAAGCACAGTAGAATTCAGCAGACCCTCATGCTTCTGGTTTTGCACTTCACCTGTTAGTAACAGAGTGGAGTCTTGAGGAATAAGATCAAAAGAACCAGGATGCAATAGTTTCAGATTTAACTGCTGACCTTTGCTCTGTTAGTGCTATTCCAACAGCGTGCCTGTCTTCTCCCTGACTCTAATGCTTATTTATGTATTTTAAGGAGTTATGCCACTCTACACTTTCTCATTTTTCAAACAGAGGAGCAAAACAGTCACGTTTCACCTGCCTTATGCATGTTTTAAACAGGGATCTCTGCCACAATATAGTGTTGTATTACATTAAATATGTACAGCTGCTGCATTTCTGGGAGCTGATAGGACTTTGTGGTCACTTTATTTAAAGCTTGAGTTTCCTAATGGATCACATTAAGCAGTCTTCCCTCCCTCCCCTAGATAAGAAGTGCTGCAATAAGTGCTTGCCTCGGATGGTAGGACTGTTTAAGCAGTAAAGAATTAGTCATCACTAATGCCTCAAAACAGCACTAAGTAATGCTGTGTATTATCCATCCCTGAATGACAATTGCGGTGTTCAGAATGAGGACTTTTGTAATCATTCTAAAAAATATCTTTTCCCATACACAGGGCAAATGCACATTACAGTGCTGCATGCCACAGATTCCCAGCTGGGAGAAGGCTTGGCATGAGCCCACCCTGAAGTGCCCTGAAAGGGCTCCACAAAGCCCCAGGCCAGCTGGGCACTGGCTGCTCCCAACTTCTAACTCCTTCTCAGCCCTTTCCTGCACTAGGTTTGGCAAGGGCAGCAACACACTGGGATAAGCTGGTGCCTTCCTGGCCTTGGGAGCTTTGAACCCAAGGAGTGAAGTCTGAGATGCCCATCAGGCTTTCCTGCCTTTTGTCCTGCTGGAGTCTTGTCTATTTGTGCTCTGGAAGCTGGGCCTCTGTGTCCTCTGCATCCATGCAGGGTTGTCAGGGAGCTTCATGCCTGGAATGGGAAGTTTGTAAGGAAGAAGTCTGGTGCAACCTTAAGTTGCTTTTCTTATAAGAAATGCAAATTTTACTCCAGGTGTTTTAAACAGAAACATCTATCCAGGTGTTTTAAAGTCATGACTGTTTAAAATTATATCAGCAGCAGCCATGCCTTGCAAGAATAGAAATATGTATGTTTTGAAATTTTAAAGGCTCCCCCAACAGAATAAACTTATCTAAATTGTTAGTGATAAATTAACAAAAAATTGGGGCTTTTACCCTATTCAGCAAATCCCAAAGCATTTAGACAAGATCCAATTTAGAAAGAAACCTAAAAATAACACCACTGCCACCCCCAAACAAAAATAACCCAAATCTGCATTCCTGCTCCTGTTTGTCCAGTTTGCCCAGTCAAATGCACATATTGTAATAATACATAATAATGTATAATATTGTACATTGAATATTGTATAATGACAACCTGTTGTGTATAATAATACCAACTAAAAGGAACCATTGCTGGAAAAGCAAGCATTTGGGACTAATGTTAGTAGTACCCAAAGATATAAGATTTGGATGCTTCCTTCTCAGATTTAATTTTAGAGGCCAACTAATAAAAGTTAAGTAGGAAAGAGTCACATAAGGGCAAAAAGCATTAGACCACCAAGTTTCAGAATATGAAATTTAAAGGGAATGGTTGGACTCATAATTTGATCCAGTGAGTCTGAAGCTTGAAAAGATTAATTTTGAAATTAAATTGTTTGACTCAATGGGTCAGAAAACAATTTATTATGACCAAACAGCCAAACATAGAACTAGAACTGACTTCAAAGAGGCTATGAACTCTGCTCACAGATATATTAAAGAGTAATTTACTTGATTTGACTAAGGCTTTGGAGACATAGCGACTGCAAAGTTCTCAGGCAGTATTTTATACTTGACCTTGTCCCTGCTTCATACTGCCTCACAATTAGGAAGAAAGACAGATGTTTCTGTTTACACAGCAGTCCAATTTCATTCATGCTAATAAACAAAAAGGCATAAATCAAAATGTAAAAGTAAGCTTCTCTGTAGCACCAAGAAGATGTAAACAAGCATGACCCTTTTCTCCCTGTAAAGTGTAGTGATGGGCAACACTGTGCGTTAGTAGTGCGGACAGGGAGTAGTGCAGACAGGTTTAAGGTCCTTTATCTCATCTGTGTGGCAAAAGTGAATGTGAACTATCCAATGGAACTGTAAGAAGTCACAGACATTTATTTAGTTCTAAGTTCTGTTGCATTAGGAAACCCCTCACATTTTCAATCTATATTTAAAGATGATAAAGAGCATGCAACGTCATACAGCTTTAATGCTCTTGCCTGCATAATTTTTTGGTTAATTAATATCTATCACTAAGTGATAATATGGACATTTAGATACAAGCATGTACTATAAACTGGGAGTAAACAGCAGCTATCATTCCCCAGAATATTACTGAGGATTGTCAGAGAAAGTTCTCTTGATTTCAAGCTTAATTGTGCGGCCTAACAGTGCATGAGAGATATTTAACAATCTCACTGTTAAGTCAATGAGTAATGGCAAAAAAAAAGCCACTTTCATCTCTTCCTTATGCATCTACAAAATTTAATTTGTAAAGTGATCATTATTCATTGAAATTCAGAAAATTGCTT